TGACTAAGAATTCAGGTGCAAACAAAGGGAATTCGTATTGCTTCAATAAATTTTTGAATTGCAAATGAGGTCCATTACGAAATCACCAACGACCCTCCTGTTTGCAAGAAGAACACCAATCACCGCCGATCACAAATCGGTGGACAAACTTGGCGTTGCTTACGAGAAAAACTTTCCGCGAAAGCTCCTAATGCCGACCCATCGGATAGCACTGTGAACAGTGATATGGAAGCCGAGACGTGAATTCCCCTACCGTTTTTCTTTTATGAGAAGAAATATTTCCACTTGTCCTATCAGGTGTACAACTTTGCTGCCGCCGTTTTTTTTCCAAAATTAAAAGCTTTATTGCGAAAAAGTGCTTAGAGATATATTATTCAAAGCATTGTCCTTCGCTAGCGACAACTTTCTCCCATCTTTCCGGTAATTTTCGGGTCCCGGCTCAAAAAAAGGAGTCCTCTTTTGACGCTATCCAAGAATTAATCCATTTTTCCAATTCTTCAAAGGATTGAAAATGTTGATCTGCCAGGCCGTGTGCCATCGAACAGAATAGGTGGAAGTCAGAAGGGGCGACTGCATTGTCGTGTTGGAGGATGACTTTGCCATATCGCTCTTGATATTGTGGTCGCTTTTCTTTTAGCGCGCGACTAAGGCGCATCAGTTGCGTTCGGTAGCGATCCTCTGTGATGGTTTCACCTGGTTTTAAGAGCTCGTAGTAAATCACACCAAACTGATTCTTTTCCGCCACCATGTTTGTCTTCGACATTGAAATCACCATTTTTAAAACGTTGAAACCACTCCCGACATGTTCTTTCACTCAGAGCAGCATCACCGTAAGTTTCTGAGAGCATTCGATGCGCTATGGCGAGAATTAGGCACATAAACGGACATTTTCGAGCGGGAATAATACGAAAACAAGAACAACTGTCATTGTCATTGTTAGGCATTGTCCACACTCACTTTAAAGGTATTATCATCTATGTATTTCAACCAGCCTCAGCCGGTACAGCCCCCTATCGGAAAACGGCGGAAGCAAAGTTGTAGCTCACAACCTTCCCAATTAAGGGATCAGAAATTGCAGGCGTGTACATTTGCCTCTGACGTCTCTAAAGCTAAGCGACTCTAACTGCATACCAGGAAGCTAGCCTTCATCCCACTACCTAATAGACATTCTCCGTCTGATTAAGAGCAAAGCAGGTGATAGTGATAAGGCGTCGGATGCGAACTTATTGTAACCTAAGTGAGCTCAGCCCAATTCACAAAAAGGATATGCCACATCAACGCTTGTCGAGCGTAATGTTTGCTGGTGCAGAATCACTCTCGCCCACAAGCAAAACAGGAGGATGTAGAAATCCTGAGTACAAACAGTGTTTTTTGGAACATTTTATTTTAAAGGTGTTCCAAATAAGTCCTTTCCTTAGAAGCTAAGATGTCAGAGAACAACAACGCGAACCCAGATATGTATATATGTATGTATTCGCACGAAAGTTAATCAAGACGAAATCCTAAATCTGAGTCGATGAACCTTACAAGGGGTTATATAAAACTGTTCGTAAAGTCAGCAAAGTTGGGAAGAAAAAAGAGTATTTTCCAGAAGAGCTGTCAAAATATTAAAATGTGCATGCGTAGCAGATGCATTTCAAGTATCGATTCAGATATCTTGAACTTTGTCTTTATTTTGAACACTAATTCCAAATTTGCTGCTTTGCCTGGATCGCGCAATGTTGATCCTCGTGCACTCGAACATTCATGTCTTCTGCATACCCCTTCGCGGCCTTCACAGAGTTCGGCTCTGAAAGTGGTGAAGATTCAAATTGCTTACCAACAAAGCGCGTTATAATAGAAACGGATCCGGGAAGTGGTCGAAGGACAACACTTACGTGTACACTTAGCGGCCAAGGTTCCCAAGAATGTCTTACAAAAACCACAAAAGATTGCGCACAAAAATCATTTGAATTTTTTGAAGGAATAAATACTGGAAATATGCATTATATTTATTTGCACTATTCAAAGGAGAAATCACAATTTTTATTTATGTTTCGGAATACATACATACGAACATACATGAATATATGTATGTATGTACATATATTATACGTGTATGCAAAAACCGCAATTGGCAAAAACAGAAAATGCAAATCACCAATCCAAAGCAAAGGTTTCAAAATTAAGAAAAGAAATTAGATTTATAAAAACCTGCGATCGTGCAGAATTTGGCATAAATTTTGATAATTACATATATACACACATACATGCACATACGTGTATACAACATGTTCATGCATACTTACCTACAAGCCGTTGCATTTGTGCCACGCAAATGCGATAAAGTGACTTTATTGTGCGGAGACAGGTAAAAAAGAGCATTATAAACTCATATATTTATATACGAGTATGCATATGTACATATGTACAACATTTGCATGTACACATGTATATACATAAATATGCCTGACACGCGTTGAAGCTCCGAGTCCTTTGAATTCGATTAACTCGTTAATATGTGACCTCTTTGAAACAAAAAATTGTTCAGCCACTGTCTAGACGCGAAAGAAACTAATTTTCATATATATACATATGTATTTTTCAAATGCGAGTATATAGATATATACATACATAAATATATAGAAATATATGTACATATGTCACTTATGAAATGCCAGAGCTCTTGACTGATAAAAAACAACATGAGTTTAGGCCTTCAGTCTCTGCAGATAGAATGCATTCTCAAAATTCTATGGATACTTACGTGTATATATTTGTGATGAACAGAACAGCGGCAAAGTCATGTTGGTGAGCTTCCATATACGGTTTTCACGCAACCAGAGGATCTATAATAACGAGAAGCAGAGAACTTATTTTAAGTTCTCTGGAGAAGGTTCAAGTTCACGGCACAACTTATAAGTTCTCTGTCAACTTCTGAAAAACCGCGGGTAGGAAATTCAACACGCTGTTAAATAACAGCCACCACGGAGACAGTTTTGTTAACAGATGCAGGCAAGTGATTTTCTGCTAAAAACAGAGAAAACGTTTGCAGTTAATTTCTCTATCTTAATGTATTTCTTTGCTTTGGCCTTTTAACAAAAGGAATTAATTACAAGATTGCCAAAAAGGAGTATTGTTGATTCGGGGTACAAGGGAAATGAAGTGGACATACTTTTGTGTATGTATGGGTATTTCATATACATACAGGGACATTTGACTGTGCTTGTATTTGACTTCAGGCCAACTTTAATTCTGATTTTTGTAAGTTTTGTCATCGTCGCGAGGGAGTCGTTTGTGGATGACGGATTGAAAAATACAACATTTTCATTCATTAACGCATGCGCCCTACAACAAAGCAAAGTGTTCATTCACACGGCTCCGCTTACCCGCCTCAACACTTCCTTCATCACGATGGTCACAAACTCAAACATGTAAGGAAGATTAAATTCGAGTGGAAACGAGATATTCGGCTGATATTTATATGTATAAAACATCTTAGTTCTTACTCGAGCTATCGACAAACATTCTTAAATCTATTAGCTCATATTGTGAGGCAAGTAAATTCAAGTTGTCCGTCCGTCATATAAGCTGGGCCAAAAGCAAAAATTCTAGATTTTAGGGATGAAGTTCGAATCTCAAGCTACGGCCTGATAGGGAAGTAGAGGCGTGCTCGGAGACCCATAGAAAAATATACGAATCGCTTTAGGATTTTCATTCTGTATAGTGTATATGTACATATATGTTTGCTTGCTTTAATATTTGTATGCATGTGTATATGCCCTATTGTTTCACGCGCATATTCAAATGATTTTTGCAATTCAATCGGACAATTTTTGTTTTGGTACGAAATTTTGTTTCACCGTCATAATTGCCACGATCAGAGCAGATAACGTAAGTACAACGTACGTTCTCTGCCTGGACCTTCTCGTTGTATTTACGTTCTCTGGCCGAAACGTAATTCAAATGCGTATTTACGTTCTCTGATTATAAGTTCGTTGGTTTTACCTCAATAATACGCCGTAAGGACAAGGGCGACATCTGCTTCTCGTTATTATAAATTCTCTGGCTCACTTCGTATTTCTAGTCAAGACATTAACGAAGAGATTTCGCAAACAGATGTCACCACAAGTGTCTTCCTTCATGCAATTAAAAATTTTTTTTTCGGATGGTAATGCAGTGAAGCACCATCAATTGCTCTTTGAAGCACGCTTGCGGGCGAGAAAAAAAATGTGTTTCATACGCAGATCAGGGAATCTATGATACTAGATAGACAGAGAACTTGAAATAATTGAGAAGGTGAATAGGAGATAATATACCTAAATAAAAAACTTTTTAATATAAAAGATAAAAAAAGATTAAATTAAATTACAAGGAAAATAAAAAAAGCAACTAATTCAAATAAAAAAGGAAATCAATAAAAAAAAAATATATAAAAAATAAAATAAAATAAAATGAAATAAAGAGAAATAATGAAATGATTTTAAAGGAATGAAAATAAAATAAATTTTAATTTAATTTAATATAATTAAAACATATAATAAAATGTTCCAAAAATTAAAATGAATTAAAATAAAACATAATTAAATTAAATAATTCTTCTTTATTTTTAAGAAACAACAATATACTATTTTTAATCTGCGAAATGATATGCTTTTTTGAAAAATTGGGGCCAGAAGAAAATGCATTACAACTTTAAAAAAAAAGTTACTAGTCTTTATATATAAGTCAAATTGATTTTAGGCAACATTATTTGCACCCAACATGGTACACTCAATTAAAATAAAATGCCAATGTTCATTCATTAAATTGAAATTCAGTTTTCTAATTTGTCATCCCAAGAACATTTAAACCCCCATGGAATAAGGCACACAAAGAAGTGAATAAAGAGATCACAGACCATCCAATGAGTACTCAAATTCCAGTTCCAACTTCACACTCAACTTCGTTGGAGTTGAACGCGAAATTGGAGTCGATAATCGCACACAGGTAAAGGTAATGCGCAGTCGAAAACAGCGCGGACTTGATCGCAGACGCTCGCTGCGTCTTGTTGTGTTTTCGTGGGAGCTTCGAATTTTAATTTTAACTGTACAAGCACGCCGTTTCTGTTTATTTATCAATTCTGATTTTGCTGTTGTTGTTTTTTAATTTGTTAATAGCCGCGTGTAACTTTCGTGTATTGCGCCAAGTGCTTCCATACAAAAAATACAAATGCATGTTCCAACAATGTAGCGCTTCATCATCGATTTTAATTGTGAATTACTTAAGAGTGTACTATCTATGAGCTATCAAATGTGATGACTTTGTGAGTGTGTGCGTGCGAAAGGTTGGATTTTGATAAATCACCATTTACGTAAGTATGTACATTTGTTGCTTCAAGAAGTGAATTACGGAAGCAATTTCCACATTTACATACATACAAACATACAAACATACAAACATACATACATAACTTTGTGTTGTATTTGAATTTAATGACAAAGAAAAGTAAGCGGTGTGAAGAATATAGAAAAACGCGACCACGGCGAGATCGAGAAAACCGGTTCCCGTTGGATTTCGGCTTAACTTTATGGTTTTGTGTGGGAATTTGACCGCAAACAAAGCTTGGCAAGCACGCAAGAGCAACAAAAGCGAAAAGACATCGAAAAAGAGACAACCGAGAGCAAAATAAGAAAATAACTCCGGTCAAAAACTCGAGGACTAAAAGTACAAACATTAACATACATACATACATATATACATATATGTGTATATAAATATATGACGAAATTTTGATGACAGAAGTGAACTCTTTCCAAACTTAGTAGCTCTGCGTCTGTATGTATTTGATGTGTATTTGCGTTTCGGCCCGATTTGTGGCAAGTAAATTTCAGAGCAAGAAATCTTGCCGCCAATACCTACATACATTATGATTCCAATAAAATAGTGCTCATTAAGATGCATACATACATATGTATGTATATACAAAAATTTTAACGAAATTACCCTTCCATTGTGTCTTGTGTTTGTGTACGTGATTGAGGGTAATTAAACGATATGCATGACATTCACTTCCTCTAATGAATTTCGGAAATACATACATAAATATGTTGTGTATATAATGAAATGCTGAAAGCTCTTCTGATCAAGGGAAGCTGGCGTAAGCGCAGATCGGAAAGAAAGTCGACAGCGGTAATTGCGTTGAAAAGGTAAGATCATTTTCACTTTTTAATTACTCTTCAGCGGAAAAGTTTATAATTAAGTACGTCCATTTTCATACACGCACATACTCGTATATATTAGATATGTTTATATTTGTACATACAAATTCGGTTCTTGATAAAATTTTATGAAAGAGAGTCTATTAGAGTAAACCCATCTGCACTATAGAATGAGGTTCTTAAGTCTCTATCATCAACCATCAACAAACTGACCTCTTCAGCGTGGATTTGAGCCAGGGAAATCCGCCATTGTCTAGATAGATAGAAAAGACTTGGGACTAGAGAATCGGCACAAAGCACCCCTGCCTCTACGTCGCTATATCTTAATTTTGGTATCCCCGCAAAACTTATGCGGCTGTGTAAACTGACGTTAAGAAACACTAAAAGTCGTTCGATACCAATCGAGGTTTCAGACAGGGTGACTCTTTGTCGTGTGATCTCTTCAATTTGATGCTGGAGAGAATAACAAGAGCTGCAGGGCTGAATAGAGAAGGTACCACTACTGGGGTACGCCGATGATATTGACATTATCGGCCTCAACAACCGCGCCGTTAGTTGTGCTCTCTCCAAGCTTGATAAAGAAACGAAGCGAATGGGTCTGGTAGTGAACGAGGACAAGACGAAATATCCCCTGTTAACAAACAAACAGTCAATGCCACGTCACTATCGATAGTCATAACTTTGACGTTGTATTTGGCGTTCGTCTAACTTGAAAGCAACACTGACAAAAACTCTAAGTTTAAAGTCCAAGGAAGTATCAATCTTATCAAGGGGTGATACTTTATGCTGAGCTGACAATTGAAAAGTAAAGTCACTCCCAACGAACAAAAACGTCGTCCTGCTATATGGGGCAAAAGTGTAGACGGGGTCGACATCCGATGTGTCGCCGTTCGAATTATCGAAAGAAAGGTTTTCGATTTGAAAGTTTTGGATGAAGTACCCGCCGATGAAAAGACCAGATGAGAAGGGCTCGACTACACTTGGTATTTCTAATTGATGTCAAATCGAAGAAAGAAACAGGGAATGGCGCCGAGTTAATAACAGTGCGCCATTCTCTGCTTCTGATGTCTAACCAAACGGCTAAACCGATTTCGATTCAGTAACAAGGTGTTGCTGTCAAAACAATGAAAGTAGCTCTGGTCACAATTAAAGTGCAATGGTAATAATATTGAACCACGAAGTAATGGCCGTAGGCCTTCACCAACCTTTTGACCGTCATAATTTCACAATTTGGGCTATCAATAATCAGTCTCGCCATCAAGGACTATTTCTGAGCTGGGTAGGCAAATAAAATTAAGAGGACTTATGGAAAACATATACCAAGCACTAGCATAAGTTAGGCGGATCATTTGGTTTGGACTTAGATGGTCCCTAGCTCAGTAATTCCGTTAGGCAGTAACTATAGACCTAATGCAGCCCGTACAGTAAGTAGTAAGAAGTCCAGCTTTCAAAATTTCCGATTCAGCGTCCTCTGATGGTAGCAAGGGACGAGAGAGACCCCCTTCTTCGCTGGAGGGATCCACTGAAGAGTTGGATAGTTTCGGGATTTTTCCGATTGGCTTCAAAACGTGGGAACAGCTCCCATGGGCAGGACAAACTTTGAATTTTTTTCCTCCCCATGAAAGTTTAATTGCTTCTTGATTTAAACGCAGACCATAGAAATGTTTAGCGTCCCGTTTGCGCAACCGCTCAACTCTTGCCTTTTCTTCATTACCGATTGTAGCAGTACGCTCCAAGCAATATTGGTAAGTTGTGTGCTTGTTAGCTGATAATGAATGATTCATTCTGCTATCAGCTTTTGTTTGCATCGACGAGGTGGTTTGACGCTCAGAGCGCACAAAACAAACCACAAACACTTTTCTGGCTTTCAATTGGGACGGGCACATGGCAGTCAGCCGCTCCGCTCGGAGCATTGGTGGTGGTGGTGAGTTCATTTCCAGAATGAACACATTCAACAACAGTCAAGCAGCGACCACATGCCCGACTCGAATGGCTGATTGGGCGCTTCAGTTGTTATTGAGACAGAACGCGAAGCGGTTGCTTATCGAGGCACACACGGATGATTAGCTCCAAGCTCAAGTAAATGATAGAATGAATTACAGTCGGAAAGTGTAAAATTGTTGTGAAAACATTGAAGGGCAATCCAATAAGAGCGACTTGATTACACAAACGGTAACGGCGCAATTACGTGTTCAACACACAGATACTCAAACACACACACACACACACACACACACGCACACGTCTATGTATATGTGTGATTGGATGTACATATGAAAGCGTATTTGCTTCGGTTGCGTATTTTGTTCGTTTCGAATACCGGCAGATGTGCGTATGAATGAAAAAAGTGGTAAAAGCCAAACTACAACAACAACAATAACAACAGCAAATGACAACAATAAAGAAATGAAAACATAGCAGTCAAACAACGGCTTACCCAAGAACGTGATGAGTAACATTTCGTGAGTTCGTGTACCGGTGAATGCAATTTTAATAATAATAATAATAATAACAACAACAACAGATACTACAACAAAAGCCTAAAACCAAATAAAGTTCGGTAAAAAAAGAAGCGAAAAAAACACAACAAAGCTTGAGCAGAACTGACGTTGATCATGTATGTAAATAAGTATATGTATATGTACATACAAACATTTATGAATGTCTATATATACATATATGCACATATCGTTGACTACATCCCTATATGCATAAGCGGCATTGTGCAATCCAGCTGCCTTTGAAGCGTTGAAGCAACTGGTCGAATTGGCAAAAATAACGCTTTGCAGTGCGAGCGTTTTAGCTTACATGTACTCGCATATCTACATATGTATACATACATACATATACCTACATACATGCATAAATATGTACTATGTGCCGCCCCACAGATGCGCGATAAGGGAATAATATAAAAGAAATAAAAGACAGACACCGGTGATTTATTGTAAGCACAAACTTACATACATACATACGTATGTATGTGCAACCCAACGTAAAAGCAATTGCAAATCAAATGCCACAAACAAAAGTGCAAAATAAGTAGAAAATATAAAATAGAAAATAGAAAACAGAAAACGGAAAACGGAAAACAGTCGTGCCTACATACATACATACATACCAACGTGCATACGAACCCGTATGTACATACATACATACATTTATATAACTATATAGATGTATATATGTATGTACTAGCGAATATAAAATGTACATTTTTTGTATCGAAAAGAAATCGTATTTGTTGTTGTTGCTCGCGCCATTGAATAATGCAAATTTTTAATTTCTAAACTGCCGTGCTTCATAACATACATGTATGGCTACACACATACATATTTACATGGCATGTGCATAATAAATTTATTTATTTTCTAAAATTTACAAATGGCCAGCGGAAACATAATCTAATACATTTACTGATAAAATATAAGATCGAAAACCAAATCCTTTCCCCATTAACCGAAAACCGAAACGTTTTCAAAATTTTACTTCCCTCGAATTTCTAAAATCGTCAAATGATTGTGTGGTTGAAAAAGATTTTCAGTCGGCTTAAACTGAATTAAATATGAATTACACATGCATACATACATAGATACATATGCATATGTATGTAAGTAAGCACGAAAGTGTTGAGTGAGTTTGAATTACATAAAAACTGCGGATTTGACTAAAATGTCTTAAAAATTGTCGGCTTCATTCATCATTATTATTTATTAACTTTATTATACAATAACAACAAGCAACGAATCCTTCACAGCATATGTACATACATATATGTATATGTACATATGTACATCTACGTTTGTGTGTAATGCGTTTTATTTGAATTTCGCAAAACGGATTTTACTTTGCGGTGAAAAACCTTTTGTAAATTTAACAGAAATATGAGTATGTACATATGTGCATATGTATGCGTATATACATATCTACATACATATATACAAGCAGCTACTTGGCCTTGTATTATAGATACTTTTATGCTGTGTGCTTGTTATTTATGCATTTGAGTTGAAGTACATAGGTAAATATTAAAATAAAAAAAGAATTTGTTTATTTTGAAAACAGCAACAATCCATTTAACAGTTAGTGATAACGTGAAGAGTGACAAAATCAACAACATCCGCAAGTGCCACTAACGAAGGACACTGCATTTAGTGTTCAAATATATATATATATATGTACACGTATGTATGTGTGAATAGTTGCAAATGAATTGCTCCGCTTCCATTGCCGCTACCTAAAGTGAAACGCTTATTCAACTCAACAGAGTGAAATTCCTCGTAGAACGTCAGACGCTAACTTTAACATACATACGTGTATTTATATAGAAAAAGCAAGCTCGCACTTATCATATCAGCGAATAAACGTCCGTCCCTTTCAACCGCCTGAGTGCCTGGTACTTTTGTTCTTCTATAGATATCTACAGAAGTACAAACATTTTAATTTCAACGAGTTCATTATCGTCAAGGTAAATGTTATGAACATACATGCATACATACATACCAGAATACATATATACCAGCATACAAACATACAAGCATATATAGAACATCGTATTTGTACATATGTCTGTTTGTATGTAATTCTACAGAACCTTCACTATCATAAAGTAGATAACTAAAAGTAGAATGTAACGCCCAGTACTCTCGCTTAGCGTTTATACTCTTTTTATAAATATATTTATATTTTTTTTTTATTGTACTTACATATATGATATACTACAATATATAAATATGTATACACACTAATAAATAAATATATATATAGCACATGTAATTGATGAAACGTGTAAATAATAAATGATCTCAAGTCGAAACACTAAATACAAAAAAAAAAAACAAAAAACAAAAACAAATGCAATTAAAATCGTTGAATATGTGTAATTTTAAAATGCTTTGAGCAAATTTAATTTTTCAAATTGGAAACGTGTTCTTGCTGATACAAATTTTAAGAAATTTAATTTCATTTTACCTTGTTTTAAAGGGTGT